GTCTTGTACCAACATATTTGCACACTCATCCAATTGTTTCCTGAGGATTCACACTAGAAGTGGGAGGTATTCACTAATTCATTAACACATGTATTGAGTGCCTAGTAATGCACATCTCTGTTTTTTTGTTTTTTAATATATTTTTTTATTTCAGAGAGGACGGGAGAGAGAGAGAAACATCAATGATGAGAATCATTGATTGGCTGCCTCCCGCACGCCCTACACTGGGGATCGAGCCTGCAACCCAGGCATAGGTCGATACTCAACCACTGAGCCACACCAGCAGGGCTGCACATCTCTGTTTTTGGGGGCAACACAGCGATGATCAAGAAGGTCCCGCCCTCAGAGTTGTCAATCTGGTAGAGAACTTCGGTATTAGGCCAGGGGTGGGCAAACTTTTTGACTCGAGGGCCACAATGGGTTCTTAAACTGGACCGGAGGGCCAGAACAAAAGCATGGATGGAGTGTTTGTGTGAACTAATATAAATTCAAAGTAAACATCATTACATAAAAGGGTATGGTCTTTTTTTTTTTAGTTTTATTCATTTCAAACGGGCCGGATCCGGCCCTAGGGCTGTAGTTTGCCCACGGCTGTATTAGACAAAGAACCCAAATAAAGTGGGATGAGTGGTTTCACGGAGGAAGTATGGAGTAACTTGGTTCTAAGGCAGTGGTTCTCAACCTTCTGGCCTTTTAAATACAGCTCCTGCCGAGGCTGGTTTGGCTCAGTGGATAGAGCGTCGGCCTGCAGACTGGGGGGTCCCGGGTTCGATTCCGGTCGGGGGCATGTGCCTGGGTTGCAGGCACGTCCCCTGTAGGAGGTGTGCAGGAGGCAGCTGATCAATGTCTCTCTCATCGATGTTTCTAACTCTCTATCTCTCTCCCTTCCTCTCTGTAAAAAATCAACAAAATATATTTTAAAAAATAATAAAAATAAATAAATAAATAAATACAGTTCCTCATGTTGCGACCCAACCATAAAATTATTTTTGTTGCTACTTCATAACTGTAATGTTGCTACTGTTATGAATCGTCATGTAAATATCTGATATGCAGGATGGTCTTAGGCGACCCCTGTGAAAGGGTCGTTCGACCGCCTAAGGGGTCTCGACCCACAGGTTGAGAACCGCTGTTAAGGAGCTGTACTTTTCGCCCTGACTGGTTTGGCTCAGTGGCTAGAGCATCGGCCTGCGGACTCAAGGGTCCCAGGTTCGATTCTGGTCAAGGGCATGTACCTTGGTTGACTTCCTAACTGTAATGTTGCTACTGTTATGAATCGTCATGTAAATATCTGATATGCAGGATGGTCTTAGGCGACCCCTGTACCTTCCTCTCTGTGAAAAATCAATAAAATATATAAAAAAAAGAAAAAAAAAAAAAAGGAGCTGTACTTTTCAAAAGGCTCCTGCTACCCCTCTGCCAGCTGTGTCCCCAGGAACCTGTGTGAATGTCGCCTCCTACCAGCGGGTTTGCAAGCACCTGCGCCCGTCCTTACTTCCCCGGCACCTCTGTGAACCCACATGCTTTTCAATCCTGGCCAACCGCAAAGGCTAACACTGTGGTCGTGGTCATAGCAATTATGTACACAGGTTTCTGGTTACCTTTTTGTTGTCCTGCCCATTCGTAAAAAGACACTTAGCAACCTTACCCTCACATGTCTGTGACTTCAGAACGCTAACGGTCCAATTTCCCATCGACATGCTTACATGTCATACCTCAGGCAAATCGCTCAGAAGTTGAAGATGGTCCCTGCAAGCCTCCTTAGCCCGAGCCTCCCTGCCTTCGCCGTGCTCCGGGGCCGGCAGCCCCGTGTTTCCATCCTGCAGGGGCTGCTCTGAGCCCTCCTCATCCTGATCACCCACCACGGCTTTGGAGAGCTCGGATGAGACCTTTTCCCCAATGCCTACCTGTGCGTCACTCTTTCTGCACAAGGTGCATCCACACAGAAGGCATTGGGTGGATGGAAAGGGGGAATTAAAAGGGTAAAGGACTTGGGTAAGGATCCAGTCTAGAAGAACCTGGGCATTGTTAGTAAATCCCACAACAGGTTTATTTAACCACTAGAGGCCCGGTGCACAAAATTTGTGCATGGGTGGGGTCCCTAGGCCTGGCTGGCGATCAGGGCCTATCAGGGCCGGACAGGGCATGGCCTGCTGGCTTCCAGACAGAGCCTGTCAGACAGGGCCTGCGGGATGGGGGGGAGGGTTCGGGGGAGGGGCTGCAAAAGGTTTGCTGACCTGGGGGAGGGACCGGTGGAGGTTGGCTGGCCATGGGAGGTTGGCTATGGGAGTGCACTGATCACCAGGGGGCAGCTCCTGCATCAAGCATCTGCCCCCTGGTGATCAGTGCATGTCATAGTGACTGGTCAACTGGTCGTTCTGGTCATTCCAGTTGTTCGGTCGTAACGGTCACAGGCTTTTATGTATAGAGAGATTGCTGGGCTACAGGCATGTCAATCATTTCTGTTTTGTAAATAATCTGGGAAATAACGTGCTATTCGTTCATTCGCTCAGCTAATATATATTGAGCTCCTCATCTGTGCAAGGCTTTGTGTCTGAGGGTACACTCTGTGTATCTAATTGTATGAAGATCACTTTTTATATATTTCAGCCACGGGTACATTAATGGTCCTGCAGGCTCAGAAAGTCATTTTCTAGTAACTGCGGTTAGCAGGTCCCACCGAGAGGTGACTAGGTCATGATACCAACCTTCAAAGTCTATGTGGTGAGTCCCTCGCCTGCAAAACCAGACCTCAGGAGCAGAGCACCTGGGAGGAGTTTCCCTCAGTACCAAGGGGAGACCAGCTCCTGGGGGACCTGGATGAAGAGGGCACCCATCTCACCAGGACAGCCGGGTGCCCGCGGGGCTGCACTGCCCTGCGAAGGGTCAGCAGTCTGTCCTTGGGAAGTGTGGCTTTCGCATACACTGCTATTTCCTGCAGCTATTTCCATTTTGCCTTCCTTCGTCGATGCCCTTTCAAAAATGCCGGCTTGTCCCCTCTGTGCTGAGAGGCACCTGGGGAAGGAACTGTGGGTGCCCAGGCTGGAGTTCCTTCTGTGGGGCTGGAGGAGCTCCCCCCGAGCTCAGAGAGGATGGGCAGAGGAATCAAAGCCACGTGACTAGGGTAGGTCTCCCCCCACCCCACCCCTCCACACAATATTCTTTTTTTTTTTTAAATATATTTTATTGAATTTTTACAAAAATGCCGGCTTGTCCCCTCTGTGCTGAGAGGCACCTGGGGAAGGAACTGTGGGTGCCCAGGCTGGAGTTCCTTCTGTGGGGCTGGAGGAGCTCCCCCCGAGCTCAGAGAGGATGGGCAGAGGAATCAAAGCCACGTGACTTGGGTAGGTCCCCCCCACCCCACCCCTCCACACAACAATATTCTTATTCTTCTTCCTCTTGCTCCTTCTCCTTTATTATTTTTATTTTTTACTTTTTTTTTTTTTTTTTTAGCTCTCCCCACCCTGTTACAACCCATAGCACAGTAACAGCTGAGAAGTGGTCAGACCTCTTGAGACCCCACCAAGACACTACGGAGAAAGGAAGCTTGACCCTGACCCCGGGGCTGCCGCCCCGTGGAACCAGCTCTTCCCGAGTCTTCACCCTTCCGTGGGAGCAGGACGCCGCCCTCTGATTTCATCACAGTCGAGCTTTGTTCTTTCCACGCAAGACATCCTTGGCTTTGGGGCCCAGGGAGACGACAGAGAGGCTGTTCTAGGCAGAGCTGCGCACTGGAACCCAGGGCCACGCCCGAAAGGCAGTGCCTCGATTTTTAATTAATTTCAGTACAGTGCCTGGATCACGGATTTTCTCCTTGTGATTTTGTAAATGAACGTCTCACGGATGACCGGCTGTTGGTGCTCTCGCTCCAACAGGGAAATCCGGGGCTTTGTCTGCCGGAACCGCCCGGCTGGCCGGGCCGAAGGAAGGAAATCGATGCCGAGACAGGCCCAGGCCCAGCCCGCGGTGGCCATGGCTCTGCCGACGCCGGGGAGCAAGCGGGCCACTCAGACCAGCACTGGGCGTGCGGAGGGGGGCCGGGGACTGTGTGAACCGTGGCTCAGTGTTTGTGGTCAGCGTTGGAAACAAATTGTCGGGATTCTGGAAAAGATTCAATTGTGTGGGAGTTACTGTAGCTTAACAATCCTCATTATTTGTTTGTTGGCTTTTATTTTTAGACTTTAAAAATGTCCCGTTGTTAACCCCTCCGGGCACACGTACAGCAGCCGTGAGGTCACACGCAGCTGGCAGCGGCCCAGTGCCAGCTCCGCAATCGGTGAAAGCCAATCTCGCTCCGGTCACATCAGGAGGCAGGACCCGTGCTCTCTGCTGTCACTAAAGGTCAGATACGCATCACAGGCCCGCGGTCACCAGCAAAGCGCAGTCGGACCTGCAACTACTGGGTCTATAGCAGTGAAGCGGAGAACAAGCCCTGGTATAAGCTGGCTCACTGATTTCCAAGGGCCCGCGGTTGGCATCCTCGCCCACAGGCCCAGAGGGTAATGGAGGCGAGAAACAGCAGTGGGGGGCCCGGGGCGAGCCTGCGCCTCACTATCTGTGCGGCCGTGGGCATGTCGGCCGCGAGCCCCCATCTGGAGAGCAGAGGAGGGTGGGGGTTCGTGGCGGGTGGAAGGTTCACCCTCCGCGCAGCGCCGTGGTGGGGCCCACGTGTGTGCTGGGAATTGTTCTGAGCACTGGGTACAGTTGCCAACCATGGAAATGGAGGCCGTGCCCTCGCAGTCAGGGTGGTGCCACGGAGAAGAGGGCAGACAGTGACAGTGCGGTGACCACGGGAGGACGGGAGGAACTCAGGGTGCCAGGGCCCCCGACACCATGCGGGGTCCGGGACAGCTTTCCAGGAGCAAGTCTTCTCAGCTGAAACCTGAGGGCTGGCCCAGGGGTGGCTCGTTGGCAGGGCAAGTGCCCCACGGGCGGAGGAGAGGACTGTGGGTGGCCCAGGCCCCAGATCCTCATCAGCGATTCCTCCCCGCTCCTCCCAGCCCAACAGGTCACCAACTCAGTTCTCAGGCACCAGCTCAACTCAACGCAACGCCGACACCAGCTACCTGGAGCCGGTCATCACATTGGGAGGTGCCGAGTCCATGATGGCCAGGAGCTGAGCAACACGACGCAGCCCCTGTAACAGGAGGCCCTCCCAGCCGAGCGGCCCCTGGAGCCATGGAGGCCTGAGCCGCACTAGCCTTCAATTGAAAGCCTCGGCAAAGGACCCCCACAGGCTGTACCTAAGTTCACGTGGACTATTTGTAATTTGTGTCCCAAATAACAACTACCATTTGCAGATAATTTTCCTTCTCTTTCTGATTTTATGCCCTTCGTTCTTTTTCTTACCTTATTGCAACGGCTGGGGCCTCGAATAGAAAGGAAGCGGTTGGACATCCTTATTTTGTCCCTGATCTTGGGGGGAAAACATGCAGTATTTCACCATTAAGTATGACGTTAGCTCCAGGCTTTTTATATATTCTCTTTATCAGTCTCACAGTTCCCTTCTCTCCCTATTGGGCATGTAGTTTCTGGTTTTTATCACGAGGGTTGAATTTTTTCTAAATACTATTTTTGCATCTATTAAAATGGTCACATGGTCTGTCTTCCAGTCCATAAATATAATTAATTATACAAAGTGATTTTTGAGCCCTAACCGGTTTGGCTCGGTGGATAGAGCGTCGGCCTACGTACTGAAAGGTCCCAGGTTCGATTCCGGTCAAGGGCATGTACCTTGGTTGCGGGCACATCCCCAGTAGGAGGTGTGCAGGAGGCAGCTGATCGATGTTTCTCTCTCATCGATGTTTCTAACTCTCTATCCCTCTCCCTTCCTCTCTGTAAAAAATCAATAAAATATTTTTTTAAAGTGATTTTTGAGTGTCAAATCAACTTTGCACTCCTGAAACAAAAATCTACCTGGTCATGATATTTATTCTGTTTATATATCACTTGATTTGATAAGCTAATATCTTATCCAGGATTTTTGTGTCTGTATTTATGAGAGATATCGGCCTCTAATTTTTTTTGTAATGCTTGTTAAGTGTTATAATTAAGGCTATGCTGATCTCATAAAATGAGTTAGAAGTGTTTCCTCCAACTATCTTTTCAAAAATAATTATTTTTTTCTTAACTATTTGATAGAATTCAACAGCCACAAGAACCGTATCTTCAGAAAAAAATCACTTCTACAGTCGTAAACAACCTGCTTCCCTATTTATAATGGTCTGGCCCTCTAGCAACTTCGGCGCAAAATTATAGCTAATTTGCTGAACAACCTGCTTCCCTATTTATAATGGTCTGGCCCTCTAGCAACTTCGGCGCAAAATTATAGCTAATTGAGTGTGAGTGTGAGTGTGTGAGTGTGAGTGTGTGAGTGTGAGTGTGAGTGTGTGTGTGTGTGTGTGTGTGTGTACCAAATGTGAGTGTGAGTGTGTGAGTGTGAGTGTGTGAGTGTGAGTGTGAGTGTGTGTGTGTGTGTGTGTGTGTGTACCAAAAGTTATTTAGCCATTTGAGTTGCTAACAGGTTTTGGCTCTGATGAACAGTGATGCTGTACACATTCATGTGCATGTCCTGGTGTGCACTCCCCTAGCCTTTATATTGGTTTGCTACTTTGAACCCAACAGGCCCACCCACTTACCCACTTTCATCTCCTCGTCGCCGTGTAATTGAGATCCTCTTGGTTCTTGCTGCTGAGTGTGCCGCGCCAGCACAGCCAGGTCCGGGGAGCCTGAGAGCGGGCGGTGAGGGATTAAGAAAAGACAGACAAGAGAAGAAAGCTGAGTCTGGGTGGGACGCTGTCCTCTCTGATGGAGAGCTAGCGACAGCGCCACGGACTACGAGCCGAGTCTTTATTTTATAGCCAGATTCCACGAGGCAAAGTAAGGGCGTGGTTACAACGTTCTCTCGGGTTCCCAATCTACTCAGTTACATGCACCTGATCAAGCTTTGTTTCCTCGCTGCACCTCTCGCAGCCCAGATCACTCAGTCACGTGGGGCCACAGGTTCGGACCATAGGTTCAAGCTCACAACTATAGCCTTTGGCCATTATTGTGCTGGGACTTGCACGTGGCATTGCCACGAGAGCATCGTGCCCTCTCATTAGTTCCCAGGCTTGAACCTGTCCAAACGCTGTAGCCGCTCTCCACAGCTGAGAGGTAAGCGGATCATGCCGCCTGTGCTGGATTAAGCTGGGTGCCATCTTGAGGCTCCCCAGACGCCGGGACCCTGGGGCAGCCTGCACCCGGAGGCCCTGAGCTGCTGCGGGAGGGGCTGGATCTTAGGACTTGTTGGGAACTCTTGCTTAAGAATTCTTGGGCAATAGGTAATTATGCGATGTATGCACAGTCTGTTAAGCAGTACACGTGCCTTGTGGATGAGCTTTGTCCGTGTGCACACACACGCTTGTCTCCTGGGAATCCTTAGCCATGGCCCGTGACTTTCTAGGGAAAGAGCTCAGCCCTTGAACCCATCCCCTCCCCCGCAATTGGCATTAACTCCTGGGGACAAAAGGCAACAAGGTCGTTTTCTTTCACGTGTTTGTCACTTACCTCATCCAGCACCGCCTCTGAAGTCTGCCAAGGTTCCTCCGAGTAAATGAGAATTCGGCAAGTCCTTCATTGTTTTCATTTTCCTTTTACAGGGCTTGTGGGTAAAATTATTGGAAGAACCTTACGTGTGATAGTAGACCAGGTGTTGAATTGACTTAATAAGTAGAGAAAGGAAGGAGCGGAAGGAGGTTAACTACGTGTGAATTTATAGACGTTTCGGTGTCTGGCGTCCACGCGGATAACATATTACCTCCCTGTAAACGTGAACACAAATCGCCGGGCACTCCAGGGAGCCGAGCGTCGCTCTGCTCTTAATGGTCTCTCCAACGCCAGCTCCAGGTTCTCGGACCCTGCAGGGAATTCCTGGAATGAGTTGCCCTTAAGACCCTGGTTCTCAGTGTCGGATAGTTTGTAAAGGGAGAAGGAAAGAGAATCCTCTCCGCAGAAAACAAACACTAAAACACTCCAGCAGTTCATCTGTTTAGAGCAGTGATGGCGAACCTTTTGAGCTCGGCGTGTCAGCATTTTGAAAAACCCTAACTTAACTCTGGTACGTGTCACATATAGAAATTTTTTGATATTTGCAACCATAGTAAAACAAAGACTTATATTTTTGATATTTATTTTATATATTTAAATGCCATTTAACAAAGAAAAATCAACCAAAAAAATGAGTTCGCGTGTCACCTCTGATACCCGTGTCATAGGTTTGCCATCACTGGTTTAGAGCAATGACAGTCCTTGCTACTGACCTGCAGGCTCCAGGCTTTTAGACAGTCAGTAGGTCGTATTTTTTAAGGTCATGAAAGTGGATCCTTTGACCAAGGTTGTTAGGAGGAGAGGCGAGGCTTGTCCGGGGACACAGGATTCACAGGTGTCCTGCTGCTGGGAATGCGGACTCAGCCCATCTGCTCCTCTCTGCTGGCCCCTCAGAAAACCACCAGCTGTGGCACTGCCTGCTGGGCTGCCAGGCCCGGTGCCCCGCCCTGCTGGTCCCGGGTCCGACGGCTCCTCCCCCGCGCTGTCGCTGATGTCCGGAGCGCACACAGTTCCCGACCTATGAGACAGCACCCTGTCCAACAGGAGAAGTCTCAGCCAGCACTGCAGCTCCCGCCCAGGACCTCACAGAGTGAATTGAAACAGGTGTTCCCATTCTCTGGACTCATAGCTTCTCTCCTTTCTCCCTAGACCAGCAGTTCTCAACCTGTGGGTCGCGAACAATGAAAATACATCCTGCATATCAGATATTTACATTACGACTCATAACAGGAGCAACATTACAGTTATGAAGTAACAATGGAAATAATTTTATGGTTGGGGGTCACCGCAACATAAGGAACTGTATTAAAGGGTCGCGGCATCAGGAAGGTTGAGAACCACTGTGGCCTAAACACATGTGTGTGGAGGAGACAGGGAACAGCGTGGGGAGCAGCCCCAACCCCACGTTTGGAACCTCATCAGGTTCTGCTTCCAGGGGAGTCTCTCCCTGGAAAGCTCCTGGCTTTTTTATTATTATTATTATTGATTTTTAGAGAGAAGGAGAGAGAGGAAAACATGGATCGGCTGCCTCCTGCACGCCCTCCACCGGGGATCAAGCCCGCAACCTGGGCATGTGCCCTGACTGGGTATCAAACTGGCAACCTCTTGGCACACGGGTCGATGCTCAAGCTCTGAGCCGCACCAGCCGGGTGCCTGGCTTTGGCAGATGGAGTTCTGCCGGGTCACCTGCCAGCTCCCCAGCAGGAGGCCAGGCCGAGTCCCTTCCTGGTTGGCTCCTCGGTTCCCCCATGTTAACGTCCGCCCAGCCTGTGCCGGTCCCGGGTGGGCAACACAGGGCCCTCGTTCAAGTGCGGGCTCCCCACTGCGTCTTACAAGTCGCTATTTTTAGTAAGCTTGTTTAGAAGCTTCTATTTTCAAAAATTGGCGATGGCCTATGTAATGGCCCCTTAAGGTATGCATGTGCTATCATAAGGAATTATTTAAAATAAGTTAGGCGGCCGGCCAGCATGGCTCAGTGGCTGAGCGTTGACCTGTGAACCAGGAGGTCACGGTTGGATTCCAGGTCAGAGCACATGCCCGGGTTGCGGGCTCGATCCCCCTGGGGTGCGTGCAGGAGGCAGCTGATCAATGATTCTCTCTCATCATTGATGTTTCTCTCTCTCCCTCTCCCTTCCTCTCTGAAATCAATAAATATATATTAAAAATAAAATAAAATAAAGAAGTTAGGCGGTCACTTAAATCTGACTGTTGCACCAGGCCTGTCCTCTAGCAGAGCCTTCCTCAGATGCTGCTGTGGCCTTACCCATGCTTTGGACGCGCCTAAGAAAACAAAACAGAATCCGGCTCTCTGTTGGTAACGAGGGAGCCACTGCATCCGGGTCTTGAAACCAAGGCTCCAGACAAGCCAGTCTCCCACCAGCAGGGAGAGGACAGCCGGCGTGATCCACTGACAGGGCGTGTGCAAAGGCTCGAGCGGCAGAGAAGCTGCTTTGGGTGGTGGTTTGGGTGGTGGTTTGGGGTTCTGGAAGTTTGCAGGCCGTACGCATGCCTTAGGGCAGTGGTCGGCAAACTG